TTGCTCTGGATACGGATTGTTGGCCTTCTCGATCTCAAGAAGGTTACATGAATATAAATGCTCATATTTTAAATAACTTATGGAAGCCACAAATCCTCACATTAAACATGCAAGAACTTAGCGAAAAGCATACCGCGAAAAATTTAGCTGACAGCTTACAAAATATTACTGCTAAATGGCAAATTGACACCAAAAGTGTATCTGTTGTCCATGATAACGCAGGTAATATTGTTGCTGCAGTGAACATGATGAATGTTGAATTCAATTATAGTTGTGCAGCACACACGATAAATTTAGTCGTGACGGATGTGCTGAAGGAAGATAATATTTCCATCGTGCTTGCTAAAGGAAGCAAAATTGTATCTCATTTTCATTATTCTGTTAATGCTTCTAAATGTGTTTCTTGCAAAAAAACAAGAACAATTAAACTTATCTTTACGAAAGCTGATCCAAAGCGTTCATACTTGATGGAATTCAGATTTGCATTAAAAGACTTATAGAGAATCGTGGTGCTATTACAGCTGTTCTTGCGAATCGAACGCTGATAACTCTTTTGCAAGCCAAAAATTTAGAGAATAATTAGATTTAATTAATATTTAATAAATACATTATAATATATTAATATTTAATTATAATAATATTAACATTTAATAAATACGTTATAAAATATTTTTTATAATATATTTATTTAGATATTTTATATATAAAAATTAGATTTTTTATTCATTAAATTTTTTACACTTTTTAAAAGTTATACTCGAGAACAATTTTTTCGATAATTGCAATTGATGATATTAAATATCATCAATTGCTAATCTGTTCAATGGACAAATAAAAATATAAATAGGGCGTAATTATTAGTTTCTTAAAATCATTTATTTTGGACACTTTGCTTTATAAAGGGATCTGTAAAAGTATTGTTTGTTTGCGTGCTTAATTTGTGCTTAGCGTTTACATTTATAACAAATAATCAGAGAAAGTTCTCGAAATTGTAATTAATATTACTGTGAGTCATTTTCTTCTTTCTCTCTTTGTCTTTCTTAAAAAAAGAAAATTATTTAGATGTCTTATTTATATAATAATCATAACATATATGTAGATATTATACAAAAAAAATATTAACTTGACTAAATATGTTTATTTTGTTATTGTTTTCAGTCTGACAGTTAAATCGTACAATCGAGATTAATATAAAGATTCGTGATACATCAATCGTATAGTAAATTAATCAATAATTTAAAATACTTTTCTAAATTAATTTAATATTTCGCGCGTATATATGCTATATATAAAATATTTTTGCGACAAATTAATAATAATATCGCGTCCGATCTTTGCAACATATAACGCATTGATATTTAAAAGTGTTATGGTTCTTATCATTCGCACAATGATACTTGAAGCTCCGTCAACTTCCTTTTCTAAACGCGATTGATTTGATAAGTATATTGAGAAATAATTTGATATGATTAATACTTAATTTTATATATGTTAAATAATACGTAAAATTACGTCGCGACGACATATCTTGAAATGCATATTTAGCGATGTGTACAATTTAATCAAAAATCAAAGTGATAGAAATCTAAGATAATAAATAATCATTTCGTTGCAATTTTTACGGACAATATTTATTATTTTAATGCTTAGAGTCACAAATATATTTTATCCGTATTATCGTTCTATTTGACAATATAAATATAATTTGGATTATGAGAGAACACAAAGTAAAACAATCGAATTATAGATGCAAATAATTAGCATAACGAAAGGCTCCTTGATAAATTGTTTAATAAATAATTAATTTTACTCAATAAATTAAAATACTTGTATAATTTACTATTCCGCGTTAATGTATATTTTATAATATATAAAATATTTCAGGAACGAATTCGATAACACGGTGTTTGATTTTGACAATATAAAATATAAACAATAGCGCGCTACGTTACGGTTTTATCATCATTCGCATAGTGACTCTCGAATAATAAAGTAGTGATGAGAAATGCTTCGTATGTTGTAATTTTTATACTAAACACTATTACGATTAGTATCAAAACATAATTTGCTATAAAAATTAATAATTAAAAATTAATTAATTTTTGATAAACGATATGAAACTGTATCGCAACAGTGTTGGGTAATATCTAGATACATATATCTAGATACAGTATCTAGATACATTTTGTGTATCTTGCCTGTATCTGAGATATATTCAAATTAAAGTATCTGTATCTGTATATAGATATAAAACATAGAATCTGAACCGTTTTTCAGATACATTTTCAGATACATTTTTAAATACATTTTCATGTATTTTTGTCTGTATAATGGAAATAAATATGTTCTTTTTTATCTGTCTATAACTTTTACTGTCGTTGATGGCGCCACATAAATTTATGTCAATTCTTTAAATTTTTAAAAGATCAAGATCACATAGAAACAACAACGGATAGTACTGTCGAAATAGAGATATTTTCTTACTTATCCGATAAACAAAAAGATATTATATTAATAACACGTTTTCTTAACGTAAAACACTTGTTTTTAAAGTTTAATACAATTATACCATCATCAGCTCCAGTTAAGCGGTTATTTAGTACTGGTGGTCAAATTTTAATACCATGGCGAAATAGATTAAGTGACGATATTTTTTGATGTGTAAGACTAATACTAATAAATAAAGCAAAAATGTCTGTTGTTTCTGTGATTTTGATTCTTGATCTTTTAAAACAATAAAATAGAAATGTAATGCAAAGAAATGTAAATTCTTTTTACATTGTTTCATCTGTATCCGTAATAATTTACACTTAAATTCTTTACTATCTCTTTTTCTTGTTTTCAAGTTTTTTTTAAATTTTAAATAGAAGGGAAATTATACATTTGATAAAAACCAAAAATACCTCGCTGTCGACTACAACACACATTAATTCAAATAATTTGTTCGAGTCATTCTCGCTGCGGCTTGTATAAAAAATTATAGAAATGTAAATAAAATAGAAAATAGAAAAAAAAAAGATATATTGAGTAGTTTTTTGTGCATATTACAATAAAATATTATTTAAAAGTATCTTATATGTATCTGAGATACTTTTAAAGTATCTGAGTATCTGTATCTATATACATTTTAATTTGTGTGTCTATATCTATATCTAGATATATTTTTTTACATGTATCTGTATCGAAATACATTTTAAATGTATCTTACTCATTACTGATCGCAACGATAAATCTTTATCGAATCGCAATCATTAATTACTGTGAATAAAAATTGAAAAAGGGAACATAAAAGGGAAGAAATTAATTTTATTATGATCTTTCGATTATTAATACTTACTATAATAATTTCTCTAACAATACTTATTAAAATTAAATAAATTTCGACCAATGTTTTAAATTTTCTTAATCATCACTCATAGAATATTTCAACGACGTTTTATGACTTACGATCATTCGCACAGTAACCTTGGACAATAAAGTAGTGACGTTTCATATATTATCAAATTCTCTCTCTACATCAACTGTATAAGATTCCCTTGTCTGGTTCCGCGCATTTCGCTGTTGTCTCTTGATACGGTGGTTAAATCTAAAATAATTGCTGCGTGGATGTAAATAACATGTAATTCTGAAATTAACGCATCAACATTTATTTTACAATGATTGATAAAACATGCCTGACTTTATCACTTATCGCTTTTTGGTAAGATAAAAAACATAAAGGAACGTAAAAACTAATACTCTCTTATCCGAAGTAAATAAAAAACAATATTTTAATACAAAATCAATGCTCTTATTATCAATAAAAACAAAAACTTGTGATGCTCTATCCTCTAACGACTCAAATAAATCTCATAAATAAAATTACTATTCTTAAAGTATTGATAATAATAAATTATAATAACAGTTGTATAAGTTATAATGCACAGAGCAAAAAATGAACAAGTTTCATTTAATACTAAAGTACGCAAATAATGTAGTGACTATCTTTCTTTGTTCATGTTGATGTCTTGTAATCTATAATATATGCTTGCGTTGAGGTCTTATAATCTATAATATATGCTTATTGCACTAAAGTACTTAAACAATTATAATAGAAAATATATCAAAGTTAATATTGTTCGAATAAAGCTTAAGTGTATCTTGCAAAAAATATAATTTAAAGAATATAATTAGCGTAGAAAGCGGTTTTCCCATCCCTCAGAAAGGGGGACGAGGTTACGTCACACTATGTGACGTCAGATGTGAGAGTCGAACTCGGACTATACTCACGCGGAGGACAAAGAGAGAGTCGAACTAGGACTCTTCACCTTGCCCCTCACTGGGGGTCGTCGGCAAGCTCTGTGAGAAAGAGTCGAACGAGGACTCGTCACCTTGCGGCAGAGGGAGGTGGGCGGTAGAAATCCTTCTGAGAATCTTTGCGATTCTCTATCACTTTTCGGCATGCCCTTCGTCTGTTGAAGACGATTACCCCCTTTCCTTTTGTCCCCAATTGAACGAAGGTCGACCTTCCTGATTTGGTAAGACACAAGAAAATACCACGAGAGAAAATCACAAGAGATAAGACGCATGAGATCACGATCGAGCTCAACCCAAGCGTATCGAACAAAGGAATGCGCCACGCTCTCGGCACGCGCTCCCTCGGGCCCATCAAGCTGGCGCCGCTCCCGCGGGAGCTGCGCGTTCATCCCAGTGCCTCTCGCGGCCTCAGTCCCCCTAACTGGGACTCTTACGATAACACAGGGAGTGTCCTTAACATTTCCGCCCGCCTTCGACAGGAGTTCTGTCGAATGAACAGCATCAGGATCTGTGGGCAAAATACATAACTTGATTATGGGTCGTTTATAAGTAGAGGTAGCCATTCTCACGGTAACAACTTTTGTTAACCCGTCAGATCCTGGATAGAGATGTGTTACTCGAGCGAGAGGCCATTTTCCTGGCGGATAGCGTTCATCGACGATGAGGACCATTGTTCCTTCATTTATGTCGTTTGAAGGATGATACTACTTAGATACTGCTTGGTAGCGCTGTAAACATTCGGAGGACCACCTTATCCAAAAATGGTCTACCTTTTGTCTAAGCAGTTGCCATCGTGAGAACCTTGAAGTTTTCTCGTCTGATAGAGCAGGTTCTGGAATAGCAGTGGGCGCTTCCCCTATGAGGAAATGTCCAGGAGTCAGAGCGTTATAGTCAATCGCGTCGTCTGATAGCGGGCATAATGGTCTTGAGTTTAAGATCGCTTCTATCTGTACAGTAATGGTTGTCATTTCCTCGTAAGTCAATGCAGTCTCCTTTAACACTCGTTGCAAGTGATATTTAGTTGACTTTACGGTCGCCTCCCACTTTCCTCCGAAGTGAGGGGCCACTGGGGGATTGAACCTCCATATAGTGTGATCGTTGGCGAGCAGGAATGCGAGATGTCGTAGTTCCTTGGAGAATGTCTTAAATTGTCGTCTTAACTCTGCATCAGCTCCCACAAAATTCGTTCCGCAGTCACTTTGCAATGAGGCGCATATGCTTCTTCTGCCCGTGAATCTTTTGTAGGTGGCAATGAAGGCATCAGTCGTGTAATCCGTGAGTATCTTTATATGAACGGCTGATGTAGCGAGGCATACGAATATGGCCAGATAGCCTTTGTATGTTCGTGTCGCCCGCCCTTTCCAAGTCTTCACGGTGACTGGACCTGCATAATCAAGGCCCGAGTTGTAGAAGGGCCGAGCCGGTGCCACTCGAGCTGATGGTAGCTGGCCCATTAGCTGCTGCGCCCGGATAGCGAGCACACCGTCCGCATCTCAGAATCTGAGATCTGACCGGCGCTCTTCCGCCGATGATCCAGAACATTTTCGTATAAAGGCCAACGTGACTTGTATACCCTCATGGAGCATTCTCCTGTGAGCATCATCTATTACCAACTTGCGGGGGGATCTCTTTGGTAAGATATACGGATGCTTGGCCTCCGAATCGATCCGGGCATTATGTAAACGCCCTCCGATTCGGAGCAATCCCTCTCGATCAAGGAATGGGATGAGTCGTACCATTGGATTGGATTTCGGCAGCTGCTCTCCCTTAGAGATGATTCCGATCTCATAGCCAAACCAAGCTCGTTGTACGATTTGTATCCAGAAATTGCGGCTTAGCTCGAGCTCCACAGGTGTTAGTGGATGCTCGATCGGCGACACTCTACGTAGGCACGAGATGAACCTGCGGCAGAGTGCCGTGATTCGTATCAGCTTCGTGAGAGTGGAATATTTGTCCAGCAATTCCCAGTAGACGCCTGGTCGAACGATTGCAACGAGGACATTCCCTGGTCGTTCTTCCAAGTTAATGTCTTGGGCTGGTGCAGGTCGGAGTAAAGGCCAGGATGATTTTGCGTCGGACAGCTGGGTCCTTCCCACCACAAATCATGATGAGCTATGTTTTCTGGCGTTAATCCTCGAGTGGCGCAGGATTCTCTTTCCCGGGTACGTAGCGCCATGTTACGTTTGGCAGAAGGTCGTGTACTGTAGAAACGCGGTTATGTACAGAGTTTTTCCATCGAACTGGATGGATGGTAATCCATGTGAGAGAAACAGAGGAGTCCGTCCAACAAGTCACCGGTGTCTCTGCTAGGTCAAGTGCTTGCAAAGTTTTCGTAAGTAAACGTGCCAACAGCAGAGTAGTCGTAAGCTCAAAACGGGAGATGGAGAGTCGCTTTATTGGCGCAATCTTTGTCTTAGAGCATATTAGTCTCGTCGAAAACTTGCCGTTGTCTTCCGAAACTCTCACGTATATCACCGCCGCTATCGCTAATCGAGATGCGTCCGAGAACCTGTGTATCTCAATCGAGTTGTTGGTACGAACGCTGCCGAGCCACCGTGGTATTGATATTTGGTTGAGCTGCTGCAACTGCTGTCGAAAGTTCGTCCATCGTAGTTGTATTTCTGGTGGTAGAGAATCGTCCCAACCTACTTTCGTCAACCAGAGCTCTTGCAAGATCATCTTTGCTCGTACTAGAATCGATGCAATCAGTCCTAGCGGAACAATCGCGCTATCTCGGACGATACCATTCTTTTCGTCAACACAGAAACGCTGGATAAAGGCGTGGCTAAAAAGTGAAAGGTATCGGTTTCTGGTCTCCAAACTAGATCCAAAATTTTACATAGAGTGGGCTCGATTTCGACAGTAGATAGAGACATTTCTCCATTCTTAGGCAAAACCTCCAAACAATTACTGTTCTATTTTTGTAATGGAAACCTGCCTGCTTCACAGAGTAGCATGAGCTGTTGAACAATTTCTTTAGCCTCTGGAATCGTTTCTGCTCCTCCGATAATGTCGCCATATCTTCCTTTTGTCAAGGGAACTATGGCCTTTGGAAACTGATGGCCCTCGTTTTCCATCAATTGCTGAACCGTGCGTAATGCAAGAAATGGACCGCAGTTGAGACCATAGGTTACAGTCGTAAGTCGATAGGCAGAAGGACGGCCATCTTGTCCGCACCACAATATCCTTTGCAAATCCCAGTCTTGTTGATGAACTGCAATTTGTCGAAACATTTTTTCTATATCAGTTAAAAAGAGAATTCGGTGTGTCCTCGTCCACAGGAGAATCTCTGACACGTCCGTTTGAAGCTTAGCGCCTGCATGCAGAATGTCGTTGAGAGATAAACCATTACTAGTGCGGCTGGATGCATTAAAAACCACTCTCAGCTTGGTGATGCGGCTGTTTTTTCGAAGTACACCAAGATGAGGTAGATAGTATACGGGAGAAGTTTGGTTATCGAAAGTATCAACTGCTACCATGTGACCCAGGTTTTTGTATTTCTCAATGAAGTCACTGTATAGTTGCCATAATCTGGTATTGGATTTAAATTTATTTAACAATCTGTTGAGGCTATTTAGTGCTCTCGCTTTCGAATCCCCCAAGAGCGCAGTATCTGACTTCAACGGAAGGCGAACTACGTATCTCCCCGTTGTATCTCTCGAATACGTAGACAAAAAATGTCGTTCGCACTCTTCTTCTTCTTTGTTCAGTTTAGAAGTTTTTGCAGCTGGAAGCTCCTCTTGTGTCCAAAACCTGCCAATGAGATCTCGTAACTCATGATCTAATGAACAATGATGAGCTAAAGCTGGTGTCGCTGCTTTGCCCGATGAGACCGTTCCGGAGAGAACCCATCCGAAGATGGTCTGTTGCGCGATAGATGTTGATGTCTTAAACCTGTCCATGTATTAAAGACCTGGAAGAACTCACTGAGCCGTAGTTGTCTGATCCAATAATGATGTGGATGAGTCCGGAGCATTCAAAGTCGGGGTCGGCAAGTTGCAGTCCTGTTATGTGAGGCCATGAATGAGTCACAGCGTCATAAGGCGGTAATTTCGTCGTCAGTCGCGGTAATACATATGCATCAATAATGCAGCTAGTAGAAGTGTCGTGTGTGGAATGTAAACGTATGGAGACAATTCCTCTCGTGCGGCCTGAGTATGTGCCACCAATGCCGAGAAGCGGTATCGTTACGGCGGTTCGCTTGAGCTGAGCACTAGCTCTTCCGATATGAAGGATAGTTCTGATCCTTGGTCAATTAATAGACGCACCGCGTGGAGATCACCGTTCCTTTTCTGTAATAGAGCTCTACTTGTTGCAAACAGTGTGAGCCCTCAAGATGGAAATACTTGTCCGGTCTGATGCGCACATACTCCTGGCTGTCACTTTGAGGGAGGTTGTAATTGTTCAGTTGATTGTGCAGTTTCGTTCGTCGTTTGTGAATTTGTGGAATATTTTGAGGATGTTTTGTTAGCGTCGTGTATCGAGGTATGATGTTTCTTCCCGCACTTTAGGCATCGTTTGGTGGAGCTACATTTACTTGCCGCATGGGGACCGAGACAATTGAAACATCGTCGTTGTTTTACGAGGATGTCTCTCCGTTGCTGAAGGGGTTTAGATTGATATTGCTCGCATTTAGCAAGATAATGCGAAGATCCACACAGCAGGCACGTTATAGCGCTTGACGTAGAGGAGGAGGTAGCGACGTGAGCAGCTATCTTCGAACGTGACTTTCCTGAGGAGCTGGCTTGATCTTTATGCGATCCAGAGGTTGAAGCATGTAAATTAAGATTTTCCATTGCCCTTGTTCTTGCAACAAGAAATTCTTCGAACTGGGCGTACGTCGGATAATCCAAGATTTACCTCCCATGCCTCTCGAGTTTCCGGATCTAGCAATCTCACCAGTAAATGCAGCAGTAGCGGGTCCCAATGATGCACGATGCATCCTAGGGCACAGATCGCGCCCATGGCCTCAGATATTATCGTCAGAAGAGCTCTCAATCCTTGTGCAGACTTCGCTTTGAGCGGTTTCAAGTTGGTAAGTCTATCCAGTTGAGCGGATACCAGAAATCTCTTATTCTCATACCTCGAAATTAATAAGGCTCACGCAGTTTCGAAGTTATCATATGAAATAGGCAAATTGCATATCAGATCTGCTGCCTCTCCAGTTATACAAGTCTTCAAATAATGCATTTTTTCCACTGCTGACAGATCCGTATTGTGTCGTATCAGCGTTGTGAATAAATCATGGAACGACCTCCAAGATTGGTAGTCTCCCGAGAAATTCGGAAGCTTTATTCGAGATAAAGCACTGCGAGGCATCAGCGATGTGGACGCTCCGTAGTCTGACAGTGTGGGTCTTGATTGCCGGTCTGGAGTGTCGAATTCGTCTCGTTGAGAAAGGAGCTTGGCGCGAGAGTACATATAAAAGGCGTGACAACGCTCGTATACTCGATCTCTGAGATACGGCTGATTGCTCAAAGCATCGCTCTCCGAAAGACAGAGGTTTTCATGCTCTTCTTGAAACTTAGTCCAGTTTTGTTCGAGCATCTCTAAACGTACGGTAATCAACTGGCGAGTCAAAGGTGAGGCGTCGGCTTCATCGGACTCAGCTGATTCTTGAATAAGGATGAATCGACTTTGTTGCAGAGCGATCCTTGCATCTAAATTAGACATCTTCACTGGTGCGCAAATCCGGCTCGAAGGACCAAAAATAATGTATAAGATTCCCTTGTCTGGTTCCGCGCACCTCGCTGTTATCTCTTGATAAGGTGGTTAAATCTAAAATAATTGCTGCGTGGATGTAAATAACATGTAATTCTGAAATTAACGCATCAACATTTATTTTACAATGTTTGACATAACAAGCAAAACATGCCTGACTTTATCACTTATCGCTTTTTGGTAAGATAAAAAACATAAAGAAACGTATATGCTTATATGCGTATATGCTTATTGCACTAAAGTACTTAAACAATTATAATAGAAAATATATCAAAGTTAATATTGTTCGAATAAAGTTTAAATGTATCTTCCAAAAAATATAATTCAAAGAATAATTAACAAAAGATAATTAAAAGATAATTAACATAGAAAGCGGTTTTCCCATCCTTCTGTAGAGAGGGGGACGAGGTTACGTCACACTATGTGACGTCAGATGTGAGAGTCGAACTCGGACTATACTCACGCAGAGGACAAAGAGAGAGTCGAACTAGGACTCTTACACCTCGCCCCTCAATGGGGGTCGTCGGCAGGCTTTGTTACCTCGTAGATGATATGCGGCGGATGAGTTGAACTAGGACTCTTCACCTCGCCCCTCACTGGGGGTCGTCGGCAAGCTCTGTGAGAAAGAGTCGAACGAGGACTCGTCACCTTGCGGCAGAGGGGGGGTGGGCGGTAGAAATCCTTCTGAGAATCTTTGCGATTCTCTATCATCTTTCGGCATGCCCTTCGTCTGTTGAAGACGATTACTCCCTTTCCTTTTGTCCCCAATTGGACGAAGGTCGACCTTCCTGATTTGGTAAGACACAAGAAAATACCACGAGAGAAAACCACAAGAGAAAATCACAAGAGATAAGACGCATGAGATCACGATCGAGCTCAACCCAAGCGTATCGAACAAAGGAATGCGCCACGCTCTCGGCACGCGCTCCCTCGGGCCCGTCAAGCTGGCGCCGCTCCCGCGGGAGCTGCGCGTTCATCCCAGGGCGCCTCTCGCGGCCTCAGTCCCCCTAACTGGGACTCTTACCGATAACACAGGGAGTTTCCTTAATATCAACCTACAGTCCTTGGCGATATAAACAATACCGCGATAATGTTTCCGACCTACGATCATTCCCTCAGTAGCCTTTGAACCACTTTGAGGTAGTGATGTGTGAGACGTTCCATATATTATCAAATTCTTTCTCTAACAATTATTTTGAACATTGCTTTACATAATAGATTTTCTCTTATCTTTTATATTTTTATTTATCGTTTATATTTGCGAATTAAAATTTATATAGTATATTACAAAATTAATTATATATTATATTATATATAAAATTATATATAATATAATATAACCCTCCCATGGGGTACATTTTGTCGCGTTGGGAGGGCTTAGTACCTGGAAGGTGCCTTGAGGTTTATCTTAAATTTTCTAATTTATGATAAATTTTAAAGCCTGAATGGGAAGCTAAGTACCCTTTCGAATCGTTAGTGTCATCAATGTGCTGCAGACGGCAATCGTTTCATTAACGCGTCGCGTTTTCGCGTTGTAATATTCTCGCATCGTCGCGTTTTCGCGGAACTTTTGGACTTTTTCATATAAAATTCCAATTTTATTTATTGTCACGAGTCTCTACTTCCGATGCCAATTAATTGGAATGTTTCGAGTTTGCACACGTCGGGAGTGTCGTTGAAAGTATATATATATTAAGTATATACATCGCGCGATCAAATTTTTAATCGTATCGAAATAATGCGGGAGTGCCGTTCAGTATCGCGCTTAAAATAACGAAAATAGCGATATAAAAATATCGCTCGCGAGTGCGGGAGTGTTAAAAATATTGCGCGCCAACAACATGAGAGGAGGAGGAGGCCTGGGAGAGGCATCGGGCTCCGGCAGAGGAACCTTCTGGTAAGCAATTTATTTATTTGTAATTATATATTAAATATTAAATATATTTATTATAATTTAAATCAGTGCTGGGATTTACTTGCAACTTTCGGCCGAATTTCTTAGCTTACGCCTACTGTTTCCCTCTTACCGCTCGCGCCGCTCGTAACTAAGAAGCGCTCAGGAACGTGTGCGTCACAAATGTAATGTGGCAATCTATCTATCTAAATTCTCTTATTGTAATTACGTTTCAAAACACAAATATTTTAAATATTTTACAGAACATATGCGTAATAATAGAATACTCATTTTTATTATTAATAAACAATAAAGAGAACTTAGATAGATTGCCACATAACATTTGTGACGCGCACGTTCCTGAGCGCTCCTTAGTTACGAGCGTTCGATGGCGCGGTCGCTAAGGAGCGAGCAGTAAGAGGGGAACAGTAGGCGTAAGCTAAGAAATCTGGCCGAAAGTTGCAAGTAAATCCCAGCACTGATTTAAATTAAACCATTAATCGCAACAATTAATTTGATGTTTTTTATTTATATTTAAATAAGAGAGAATTAAAGAAGAAGATTTTTAAATTAAAGCTATCTTGTAAAGGTAAGCTTTTATAAAGTTATAAGAGAATTATTAGTACCTAATGTTTTTTAAAATTTATAGAATTATTTTATTAATCAGTTGTTATTATATGCATTGAATATAAAATTCAATGTATACAATAATTTTTGAAATATCAATTATTTTGAACGCTGCTACATTAGAATCTTCTTTTGTATGTTATAGATCGATGCAACAATCCTGATGATCTGAGAGGAGGAGCAAACCTAGGAGAAGCATCCTGCACTGGCGGAACAATCTGATGGTGAATATTATTAATTATATATTAATTGTTAATTTGTATAAATCGTTAATTTGTTATAAACGAACAATAATTCGATCTTATTATTTAGATGAATTAAAGAGAAAGATTTTTATGAAAATCATATAGAATTTTCTATTTAAAAAACAGTTTCAAAAATTTATAAAATTTTTTTATACGTGTTTATCTGCTTATTATTTTACATATCGAATATAAAATTCCGCACGATAAAAATTGTTTTAAATATTAATTGCATTTTGTGAGCATTATTATAAATGAATTTTATATTTGTATGTTACAGACAACTAGCTTCGATAACAACTCCGCTGTTACGCATCAGTGCCGGTGAATGAAAAAAACTTTTATTTAACTTTAAGGTAACGGATTCGTAGAAATTGCAGATCTAGATTGTAGATTGTAGATAAATCCGTTGCCTTAAAATGGATTAAATTAAATAAATTAAATAAAATAATTAATTAAATTAATTAGATATTATTAAATTAAATTAATAGATGCTTATTTTATTAAATTAAATTAATGCTTATATTATTAAATTAATTTAATAGATGCTTTGCTTCTATTGCGAAAATGTATTGAAATATTAATTAAAAAAGAAGAGATCAAGAAAAGATTTTTTGTAAAAATTTTTTGTCTAATTTATTAAATAAAGAACATGCATTAACAATTATCAATTTTCTCCATTTTTGATGCTAATTTATTCTTATAATGCGCACTTATCTTCTAATTGCTCATAGCTCATCCATCGTAGAATTTGTTTGTAGATATTGTTTTTAAACTTTACTTTAACTTAATATAAAGCCAAATGATTAATTAATTAAATAATTTGTAATATAATAAATATACACACATTAATTATATACTTTATTATAAAATATAATTTATAGAAATTTGTAGTAATTTGGCTTTATATCAGTTAAAATAAAGTTATATTCAGTATTTAACGATCGTGAAATCGAACAATCGTTACTACCCCAATAGCCAAGTCTGCTAAAGCAGATCTTGTCAGGGAATCTGTTACAAATTGTTGTCGACAGAAAGATTACAGAATCGATGCAGGTTCTGATATATCATGTGATGTCAACAGAAATATAACAAAGCTTGTTAACAGATACCAGATTGGCAGCAAAAATCGAACAGATTCTGCCGGCATAACTTAGTGACAGATTGGTGGCAGAAATTGAACAGGATCTGTGCGATGCAATTTGACAACAGATTGTCAGCAAAAATCGAACAGAATCTGAGCATACAATCTCTGATAGCAGATTGATGGCAGAAATGGAACAGGGTTTGCATGATTCGATAGTTCCTTCACTTACCACTACGTGAGCTGTACTTTCTCGTAATTGAATTTCTGTCAGAAATATATATAAAGTCGCGAATATGAATAAAAGACTAAAAATATAGTAATTATCATTTTAATTTTTCACTTTAATTTCTGATATCTGATACAAGCAAATGAGAGTCAGAATATTAAACTAATTGGAATCAATATGATATATGGAAAATTATTCATGCACTGCCTATTTAAGGCATAAAGCAAGAATTTAATTCTAAATAAATTACATTTCAAGTTTTACAAGTTACATTTACTTTATTATTAATTTAATTAAATTGAATTGAAATTAGTCCTTTGCTATATGAGATATAACTATGATATAACATATTATATATATATATATATATATGTCATTTTCTAAGAAAATTCTAATTAACTTGCCGATAATATTGTTATTTAGCACCTGTAATAATCAATTTTGTTGCATTTATATAACATTAATAAAAGCGCAAATCTTGTGAAGTTTCTGCTGTCCATTTGCCATCAAGTTGCATCCGTAGATTCTGCGGACTATCTAACATCAAATTGCACGCGCAGATCCTGCTCGATTTCTGCTGTCAATCTGCTGTCGGTTTATGTTCACAGATTCTGCTAGCAGAACCCAAGCTTAATGCGGACGCAGCTGATGCCAATCTGCCGCAATATTCTGTTTGAATCTGTTTGCATGCTGCTGACAGACTGCTAACATTTTGCTTACTGGGTAAATGAGTGTAAATATTTCACGCTTTTTTGCCGGTAATTATCCGGCAAAAGAAGGAGTAATTATCTCCTTCTTCGATGATTAGAGATCGAGAAAGAAAGTGGCCAGGATCAACGAAAGGTAGGTTCAACTGGCCTGAAGATTACGGTTAGAGGGTACGCGGTTAGGGCACGCGACTAAAATATATATACATCCCAGATAGCACAGTGAATTCTAACAGTATTCTTTAAGTTTTCTCTTTTTTAAATTGTAATTCTTTAGGAATTCATAGATGAATACAATAAGAATGATTGTGGAAGTTACATGCACCATGATTGGAATTCTTGAGAACTTCTTAAAGTATTTATATAGTATTCATATAATATTCATATAGTATTCATATAGTATTTATATAATATTTATAAAGTATTCATATAGTATTTTTCCATTTCCATAAATTTAAACTTTATGAATTCAATGGGAATAGTATTTGGAGTAGTATTTGGGAATAGTATATGGAACACTGAAAGAATATACTAAATCTAAAAAAATAATTGATTTCAATATTTGCAAGAAAATATTTATTTATATTAAGCCAAAATATATTTGAATCATTAAAATATACATGTATACTTTGCTGATTCAAATATATTTTTGCTTAATATAAATAAATATTTTCTTGTAAATATTGAAGTCAATTATTTAAATAAATATTTTCTTATAAATATTGAATCAATTATTTTTTTAGATTTAGTATATTTTTTCAGTAAACATAAGGCATTTTGCAGGAAAAATTAATACACAATATTATTAATATTTAACTTCTTTTTAATATAACTTCTTATTTAAAATTAAATGTATGTGCATACAATATATATTATATTTTTATATCCATATATAATTAAAAAAAATAAATATATATGTAATATAATAAACAACTTATATTAAACGCTGTAATTTAATTAATGCATATAAATACAACTTACTTTTATTTTCTATAGTAGTTGGTTATTCTTTAGTTTCGTCTAAAACTTTTATTGTGATACGTGAGTGACTTTGATAAATCTGTAATAAAATGTATGTATGAAATTATATAACATTATATTATACATTAGAAAGATTAAAGGAATAAGACAGTCTATATAAAAGTAATATATGAACATATAATAGAAGTTTGTATTCATATAATCAGAAATCGGCTGTTGAAAGAACATGAACTACATGCAGACAAATATTTATCCAAATTTATCAATAGATAGAGATTTTGATTGATTCTGTTGGCAAACCAACTAAAACAGCTTGTTTACTGAATAAATAAACAACAAAAATAAAGACTTCATGCGTTTATTTCGAGGTTAGGTAGTAGAAGTATATTTAGTTCAACTAATACTTACCATTCAATAACACCCAATTATTAATATAATTATGTAGCACTGTGCTTTTGTAATCTGTGTGATATAATATATATATATAAATATATTACCACCTTTTTATTGCAAAATACATGTAGCACACTGCACACTGCACGAAATTACAAGATAAAGTCCGAACCGAACGCACACAATCTCGCGCATGCGTGAAAAAATAACAAGTAATTCCTTATAAATTCTCAAAGTATTCATAGTACTATCGCAAAGTATTCATTAAAATGAATTTATAAAGAATATTTAAAGACGAACTGATTATAAATAATTCTTCAAGAATTCTTCAGATATTCATTTTTCTAATTCTACAAGTATTCTTTAAAATGATTTCCCTATGAACTTATGTTCACCTTTGTGCTATCTGGGATGATTAGGTGAGGTGATAATTAGAGATAGGTTCCTTAAATCTCGAATAATTTTAGTTAATCAGGAAGTGGGGTTGTTAAGGCTATTAAGTTATTAATCATTAGAATCATTTTATTGATATTAGGGTTTATAGGGCTCTTAAAATCATTAGAATTCTGTAATAGTAGGATTGGTAGAGCTATTAAAATTATTCTAAAAAAATCCTTTAATAGTAGGATTGTTAAGGCTATTAAAATTATCCTAAAAGAATCCTTTAATAGTAGGATTGTTAGGGATATTAGTAGATTCATTCTTTTTTTTAATATTCCAATAATCCTAATTATTTTAATTAAGTTGAATTTATTTTTAAAAACGTTGTAAAAATAAATATAACATGTTTTAAAAATAAAAATGTTTTAAAAATGAAATTTAAATTATTAAAATTATCTTCAAAAATATTTAAAAAATTACATAATTATTAACGTTTAAGAAATCTTAACATGTTATATTTTATTTTAAAACTTCAAAATATATGTGTATTAAATCAAATATAATATTAAATTCAAATCTTAATGCTATCAATAGCGAATTATTGTATCGATGTTATTCAATATTTGAATAAATGGAATATTATTTGATATCGATAGCATCATAAATTTGTAAATTGTAAATTGTAAATTATAAATAGTTATAATTGTATTTTAATTATAATCTAATATTGATATTTTAATTGTAAAATACAATACGATTTGACATCGGAACATACACTATACTGGGTGACTCATTTGGAATATACAATTTCAGATCAGTCACTCAGTATAGTGTATGTTCCAATGTATAGTGTATGTCAGAACGGATATCTATAGTATAAAACATAGCCATAATACATAACATAAGCTCAAGAATCAATCAGATAGTCGTTTTAGATTTTATAATGCTATTTTACTATGCTAAGGAAACAGAAAATTACTAAAAACTTAAACATAAGAAAAATTTCAACCGATTGAAAATAAATTGACCAATCATGCTTAATTATTTTTGAAATAATCGACTATGGTTAGGCTGATGGCAGACTACGGCCGGTATTCATAATCCGGTCTTATATTTAAGATCATCTTAAGAACTCATTCAACCAATCAAATAACTACAATGCAGCCATTGATTGGTGGAATGAGTTCTTAAGATGATCTTAAATGTAAGATCGGAGTATGAATACCGGCCTACGATAGACATCTAGTTCTCTGCTATTAACCTCTGTCTTACTTTACGTCTACGACTACGACCGTTCTCTGCTATCAGCCTTATCAGTCAATTTGCCTACGACTTACGACTTGCGACGTTACGATACGACCAATATAGATCCGGCTTAAGAGGCAAATAATATGAGGTCACGTCCCGTTTCTTTCTAATAAAGCCTGATTGGCTGGTAAAAAACATCGTATATAGAATCAACCAATTAGGCTTTATTAGAAAGAGACGGAACGTGACCTCATATTATCTGCCTTTCACTCTACTCGTACGGCTCCCCTTCCCCTTCCCTCAGCAGTCCATTCTATATGTCGATGCTATGCATGTTCTACAGCGGACGCGCAATTAAAATTAAGAACGTAAAATTCTTTCGTGACTGCGTATGCGCGACCGCCGTAGAACGCACAAAATTCGTAGGAAATGGATTTTCATTTCACTTACAACTTTACAACCTTAGGCCGGGTCTACAATAGACAATTTAAGACCTAAGCCTTAAGAAATTGACTAATCACAGTCAATTTCTTGAGTCTTACGTCTTACAACCTTATGCTACGGCCATTGTAGAATGGCCTTTAAGAAATTGACCAATCACAGTCGAGTATTCTCTTCATATTCGACTGTGATTGGTCAATTTCTTAAGGCTTAGGTCTTAAATTGTCTATTGTAGACCCGGCCTTATGTTACGGCCATTGTAAACGACTAGAGAACCTCTAGGAGAGAGAATGGACAACTGATCATGTGACATGTGATCAAGCTTTTTCATGATTGGCTGGCAGAAAATGTATCAATTTTAGCTATTGCGACGCCAATGCAAAATATGATGACACACAAATAGGTTAATATATGTGTGTCATGTGTGTCCTATTTGTGTGTCATCATATTTTGCATTGGCGTCGCAATAGCTAAAATTGATACATTTTCTGCCAGCCAATCATGAAAAAGCTTGATCAGTTGTCCATTCTCTCTCCTAGAGGTTCTCTATAAACGACCCTTAACGTAATGCGATACGGAACGCCTTGTGTGGAGGCCCGTAAGAAAGTAGAAACGTATAGTGATATCACATGATTGGCTGTCAAGCAGAAAAGTTTTCGGGACTAAAAATTCTCTATTCAATAGCCAATTGCATGAGATTGTGTCTATTTGTATTTCTCAGTTGGAAAGCTACCTTTTTTTTAACATCGCCCATTTCTTCTTCACACATTTTAAAGGTGCGGCCTCATTGACGCTAAAAAGTAGCGTCAACCATTGGTTGAACAAGGAGGTAAGTATAGTTGCTTCATTGTTCAACCAATGGTTGACGCTACTTTTTAGCGTCAATGAGGCCGCATCTTAAGGTGCAATTTCATTGACGCTAAAAAGTAGCGTCAACAATTGGTTGAACAAAGAAGCAACTACTTACTTCTTTGTTCAACCAATGGTTGACGCTACTTTTTAGCGTCAATGAAATTGCACCTTACGAGTTCATGGGTCTGTTCTTTTCAATTGCACTGCTGCACTAGTGCAATTAGTTAGAATGAAAGAAAATATGTTTGTCTCTTTCTAACTTATTGCACTAGTGCAGCAGTACAGCTGAAAAGAATAGATCCCATTATACGATAAGAAAGCAGAGAAGAGATATATAAAACACAAATATCTTTCTGAAGGACCAACTATACAGGAAGAGATTTCATTATGAGTGATCATAATTCTTTAGAAAAGCTCTTTTCGGAGTCTATTAATACGTATAATGATGATATTTTTATGATTGGAACTACTGTCGATACAGGTACAAGATACAAACTAAATTGAAAAGAAATCGACACGTGTTTTTTAATACTTTTTTTGAGAAAAATGTTATTTTTCTGAATAATTAAACTTTTATAAGATTCATAAAAAAAGTATATATTTAATAAAAGCATGATTTTGATGTGAAAATGAATTAAAATATAATATTCTTTGAAGCAATCAGTTATATATACAGAGATCAATGTCATACTCTGCATTTATATTTTGATTTTGATTTTTTCTCATCGATTAGCTATAAAGCACATATTTTTGTTTCATTTTTTTTCACTAAGCTTAGATTGAATAAAAGAAATGTCTATCAATAAATTTTTTTAATTGATTCCCTTGCATTTGTTCTTCTAATTGATTTTCTATATTATTTTCTATGATTTCTTTGATCAATCAAAGACTAAAGTTATCATTGATTTTATTTTTTAGAAAGCTGTAAATTTTGGGAGAGAAATGGGTGAAAAATTAGAAAAAAATGTCTATCAATTAAAATTAAAAACGTATATATATATTTGCCATCTTTTGGAAAAACCAAATATATATATTTGGTTTTTCCAAAAGATGGCAAATATATAAGTTTTTAATTTTAATTGATAGATATCAAAGGATTAAATATAATTTAATTATATAATCTAGAATGATGAATAATAATGTCTGATTAATAGGTTTTGAATGGGAGGCGATTGACGAATGCAAGGAAAAATTAGGCAAAGATGTACAAGTAGTTAAGCAGCGTGGAAGAATCTACTTTAATATAAACTGGGATCAGTTTGCAAAAGTATTTTATTGTAGATTTTATATAAATATTTTTTAAATATTTTTTATGTTTGATTATGATGCATGATATATTTGATATCACCCTTTGCCACATTGTAGGTTCAGCAAATGAGATCGATAGATAATGTATTCATAGTGGTTGATATAGGAAGACTTTCTTTTATCAATGACAAAGAAACAGATTTGAAATCTATATATAATTACATAGTTTCAAACTTGGATAAAAGATGGGAGAAAACTCTTGATGCATGGAAATGTGCAACAAGATTCATGGGAAAGCTTTATCCAACAGTCGAAGAATATATCACAGCTAAAGAGCAAGCTCTTGTAACCAAGGCAGAAACATTGGAGATACATGATGAAGAAAAAGGAGGAGAGCCTGATTTATTGGAACAAAATATATTGGAAAAAAAAGAAATAGAAAATAAAGGAAAAAAAAGAGGTCAAGATCCTTCCGAGTCCAAGGAAAGTGATATACTTAGATACAGAGTAACATGTGAGAGGACTGGTAAACATGTGTTTGAGTCCAAGGATATTGCTAGGATTACTGGAGAAGTAGTGCAGGACAAGTATCACTGGATAGTCAATTTAACAAAGTATCATTTAGAAGTTATCTGCAAATTAATGGATGGTATGATAAATTAGAAAAAAAAGAAGAATTTTAAAATAGACAAGAAAATAAAATTGAATTTTTTAACAGCACAAATTATCCATTAATAATAATAGACTAAATGTTGTGTAACTAATTATATTTAAATATTTTAGATTTATTGATAACACATTTACGTGTAACACACGAATCCAAGCATCGCAGGAATATTGCAAGTTTTGGACCAACTACCCTCAGATCAACCATATGTTATAACTTATTAAGATTGGCAAATCCAAAGCCAGGAGATATAATAATTGATCCTATGTGTGGAGGAGGCTCTATTCCTGTAGAGGTATGTATTTATACAATAATAGATCAAAGATAACTTTGA